TTCCCTAATGCAAAGTCTCACAAAGTCTTTATAGCCTGGAGAGATGCATTGATACCATATAAAAGGGGAACTATTATGGCTTGAATGAAGAGCAGCTCTTGGAGAATACATTTAAAGAAATTAGTAAGGCACAAATAAATACAAATTGTACTATATACAATACTTAATACGCTGATGACTGAAAGTTGTATTCTGTAATTTTTAACTGGATGTGTAGTCTTCCATGTAAGAAGTCATTTAACATGCATTTGTTTACCCCATTACATGTACTGCTGAAGGGGAAAAGCATGTAGGATATACTCTATCTTGAGGGATTTTTAATTTTGTTTAGAGGCATTTTCCTGGGGACCTTAGAAAGTTGAAGCTTCTTGTGGAAGAATAGGACAGATTCTCAGCTGATATGAGCTGCTGAAGCTCAATTTTACTAAAGGGTGGCCTTACAATTTGTTTCAGCTGAGGAGTGTCTGACTGAATAATCCCAAATAGAACTGGGAATTCCAGAGTATTTAAATCATGGATAGATTGACATAACTGCTAAGTGCTAAGAGCTGGAAGACCAGATCACTTGTTTATACCAGTAGAACATCTGTGAACAATTGTTAGTGATGGATTTTAAAGGTAGCAGGTATTGTTTCTTCAACCTGACTTGCTGTGCAGTGTGTCAGTAGCCTGTGTCTCCCATATCAATCTTGATATCTTTTATGTCAGTTATTATATGACTCCATAATAGTTTAAATGTGGTCAGGTTGCTTCTGTAAGTGCATTCTCAACACTTTTCTGTGCTAGCAATTGTATTGTTTGGGAAAATGAATGTACAGAAACCTAGTCACTTTTTGAATAGTTTTCTTCTGCTTGCTTAGCAGAAGTTGTTTCTCTGAAACAACTCACTGCTGCAACAGATAGGCATGGATGCTAGTGTGGGAGAGGATGAGGTTATGTGTAGGTAGGAATGAAGGATGCATTCTAGCATCGTTGATTTAGGTTGGCTAAACTCCTAAGGCTCGTGCCTAAAGATAGAAGACTTCTGCCTCCACTTTGCAGACTTGATGCCTACTCATGTGCAATCAGCACATCCTATAGCAACCTTAGTCATTGAAGTTGCTGGACTACACCTATTTACAGAAGCTCAGAATCTAGATTAGTGAGTTATACCATCCCTAAATTGAATTCTATCAGTAGTTTGCCTATTATTTTCATGCCTGATTCTTTATGTCTCCTCCTGCTGAGGAAATTGTGCTGTTCTGTTAATCCATTTGCTCTTTGAGTTTTGCAGGACACAGAGAGATTTCAATCTTACAGTAAAGAGCTGGAGTGCAAGCTTCTGTCAAAAGAACAAGAACTGGAACAATTGCTTCAAAAACAGAAAAAGGTATTAACTGATATCCTTCAGAGATTAAAAAAAAAACAGCAAATATTTGTTGTTTGTTTATATTATTTTATTCAGCTACTATTTTATGTCCCAAAAAATGCAAGTTGATGTGATGTGGTTCTGCCAAACTCTGACCTTCTGTTGCTTTTGTATATATTGTAGATACCTGAATACATTTAGAAGTGGAGTCATGACTGCTGGGCTTCTACACGTGGGCTTAGGAAAAATATTGTGCAATGATGTGCAAAATACATCTCTGTGATAACAGTTTTATAGGAGTGCATGGTTTTCTTGCATGGCAACAGCTTATCAAATTCCCATATGAAAGACTGATATGTTTTGTTTCTTAAATAGCATGGCCTGCTTGGGAAGCAGAGTATTTCTGCATGTGTAAACTTGCTGTAAAGAGTCTCCAAGGTCAGTGCATGACAGACTAGAAATAGGGAAGGGAGATAGCACTGGAATTTAAAGGGCTGAAATAAAATGCTGTGAAAGCCAACTTGCTCCTTAGAATTTGAAGGTAAAATACATGTGAAGTTTATTTTTCTGGCAGCAGGGCTTGGGAGTGCCAGTTGTGGGAAGTAGGAGAGATGTAAGAGGGGAAGCAAAGGAAGAGGAAAAAGAAGCCTGAGGGCAGTTTTCTAGTTGTGTGTATTTTTGAGATCTTCTGCTGAGAATTGAATCCAGGTGGTGCTCAAGATGATGGGAATTGCAGGATTGTATTTGACTAAGAGGGGAAACAATCCCCCATCTTACCGTAATTATGCAGGTTTACCTGAGATGAGGATAGAGGACTGAACTAACAGGCTGTTACATAATGGAAATTAAATGCCTGATGATAATTACCTTTGTTTAAGTACCACAGTGAATCAGAATACATGTGGTTTTATGTGGGCTGTTGACCACATTGCAGCACTATCTATAATTTTGCAATTAATATATTTTAATGTTCTTCTTTTTTGGTTGTGGGTTTTGTTTGGTTTGGGTTTTTTTGCTTTAAAACTATGTTTAAAATTTATTTATCAACCAGTACCTTCTACTGTGTTCTAAATTTGGTATAAAAACCACAGAAGCTATTTAAAGGCTTACACTCAATGTTAAGCCTGGTCTAATAAGATAATACAAGCAGCAGTATCAGAAAGTTTTATCTTATGATTTATCTTTTATTTTATGATTGTTTACATTGCCTATTGTCTATTATTGCCTATGTTGGAGAACAGAAAGCAATATCTGTGTTACTTAGTATTATTTTTATCTAATGTTATGCTTTCCTTTTCAATTAATCACATTGTTTATAGCTAGTATGAATACTGGGTTTTTTTCTAATTTATGTCTATTTTTCTATTATTAGTAATTTCTCTTCTTTCTCATTTCCCCTTTCCCTTATGAATATGCATGAGTCTTAAGCATGGTGCTTTTAAAGGGCAGGGCCTCAATACTACCATAAAAATTAAACTATCCTATTTTATTTTTATGGAAAACCACTAAGGAGCATGTTCTGAGTGAGAGATTAATAAGAACACAGATCAGAAGCACTCAAAAATGAAAATCAAGTGATTGGACTGTTAAGAAAGGCATTACAAACAGAATAATCCCCAGTGTTATAACGCTATAAATGTTTCATCTTTCACATGCACCTGAAATAAATAGGGAAAAAAAGATTAAAAAATGCAAAATGGATTCTGAGCTAAGAACAAGAGAATGCATGGAGAGTGCTTAATGTGTGTATGTTTGAGGGACAACAATATCTGTCCTCAGTAGCTGTTTATATTGGACAATCCCAGCTTTTTACTTGATTTTAAACTTGTGAGTTTTTCCTCCCATTTTGTCACAAAAAAAGTGAACATACACCATTTGGTACCGTGTCTCTGCTTAACCTGTGGTAATTGGTTAATTCTCTCAGCTCCCAAGATTTTCTGAGCATGACTGTGGGCCATGAGTCTTTCCCAGTCAATTTGCATCTACTGGAACCTGCAGATCCAATAAGCAGCGAGGGCCTATAGGCTCTATATGCCATTCTGTACCAGCTCAGCATCTACCTAATGAGTTATTCCACTGTACTGGGAGTTGTTTAAATGAATGCTTTAAAAGCAGTGTTTGGTATTAATTAAATGATTGCACAGATACAGTGAAAGGAAGGAGCTCTGTATTGCTGTGAAATAACCCTTTCTTCTGTTGTGTCCTGGGGTTTAAATATTATGAGCATCTGCTATTGAGCATAGTTTCAACATAATTGTTTTTCTCACAAAAGTAAGCACTAGGTTTTATAGCAAGTATTTCTAACATCAGTACCTATGATTTGGGGAGCTAACGATGGCTACCCTCGCATGTACATTTCCAGGCCAATCTGTCAGTTTTCAGATGGCTGTAGTATTCTGTAAGTGGGATTTCTGCCAGCAATTTATTTCTCTTAAGCTTTTTGAAAGTTCATCTTTGTGTGATCACCTTTTGCTTCTCGCAAAACCAGTCCTCTGTGTAAGAAAGTCTTGTCCTCTAGTACCTGAAGCACCTTTTATATAGAATAGGTAACTTCATTCTGGTGAGGAAAGGAATCAATACTTAGAAACTGAACTGATCTCTCAATGTAAACCAACATTGCTTAGCAGTAGTTTGATATCCCATGAGTCAGTGTTCTGTGTGAACTGTGAGCCTGCTGAGGCCACAGCTCAGCAAATGCATTAAGCTGGTGCTGCTGCTGAGGTAAGTGCTCCCTCTATACTCTTGTTCCTGACCTTCCACAATCCCAGCTTGAAAGTATTTTCTCATTTTGTTTTGTACCTGGGTCTTGAGGTTGCATTCAAAACGTTTTTACTTTGGAGAGTGAAAGGGAATTAAAAAAGCTCTTAATTCACACTTCATGGCAGATATAGCTAAGATGGGAGAAAGGTTATTGCTTGTTGCTATTACTGAGGATGGGAAGGTTTATCAACTACCAGATTTAAACCTAGCATTTTTTCAGTAAAACTCTGGATCACTTTGTATAGACTTTGTCATTGTGGGAAATGGTCTAAAATAGCAGTTTTGAGTATCTAGTAAATGCTGCTAATCTATTTGTTTAATACCTTTTTTTTGTGTGTGTGTGGTTTATCCTGGTACAGTTTTGAACTGGGTGAAATGAAATCATAGAATGTGGAATGGCTTTGTTTTTGTGTAAAGTAATTGTGTCTGTACACAGAAGAGCACCCTATGTGTTTTACTTGGCTTTAATAGAAATAGCTTCCCTGTTCAACTAATCTCTAAGACCTGAATTGAAAACCTCAAAATCAAGATGTCTCAGTTAGTTATAGTGCTTTCTGTTCTCTTTTCTTCCATCCCAGTTAGAGCAGCAATGTACAGAACTTCTCAGTGGCAAAGAAGAAACCAAAGTAGAGAACACCAAGCTGAAGCTGACTAACCAGGAGCTGCTGAAAGACTTGGAGAGAACATCTCATGAACTAAGCGTGGCTCAACAACAGTTACAGGTGCTTCAGGAGGAGGCATCAAGACTACATGAGGAGAAGGAAATGTAAGTCTCACCCTTCCTGGTGCCTTCAGGGAATGTTGCACCACATTCTTCCACGAGTGCAGGGGCACAGCTGCCATCTTACCATGGGCTGCAGGGAAACTTCTGCTTGGGCACCTTCTTTCCCTTCTTCCTCACCAACCTCCGGCACCGCTCTCCTTCCCCAGCACCCTCTTCTCCTCCAGCACAGCTCTTCTCCCTCAAGTGCCTCTCAGGTGTTATATCAGTTCTTTTGTATGTTAATCACAGAGGTGCATCTCTTATCTCTCTAATGGCTCCTTGGCTGGGTTTGGAGCAGATGCAGCTTCTCAGCTTCTCGCCAGAGCCACTCCTGGGGCCCTTCCCCTGCTACCAAAACCCCACCAAACCAAACCAGAACAGTGTTTTATGGAATTAGGGCTTAGTCCTACTCAACTGCACTTGCAGTGTTGCTTTAAACATCTGTATTGTCTGGTAAGACCTGAGCTGTTGAAGCAGGTGTAATGCTCAGACTGTGCACAGGAAGAATTGAGGCTTCACTTAAAGGCAAAAAACACTTAAGGCCAGACACCAAGTTGCATTAAGTCAAAGTAAATGGTGTAAATCTGGTTGAAAAATCTGAGATGCTGTGTCCAATGTTTAAGGCTGCATAACTGTTAAAGGCAGGAACTGAAAAGAAGTTGTAGGGAACACAGATGTGTGAGTGTGATGTATGGTTCCAGCAGCAAGATCAACTCTAATATCAGATAAAATATTACATGGTCTTTAGTGGCCATGAATGAGAAGGATTTCAGCAGTATGTCTTCAGTGAATGACGCAAGTGCCAATGTCAGTGTATATTAAGCTCTCTGAATGAAGAAATTATAAAGCTATAATTTTTTTTTAAAGAACCTCTACTCTTTCCTCCACTAATTCAAGCTGCTGTGGTACTGTAGGCCTTATACAGAATAAACTTTTTAAATTAGTAACCATTCATACAGAATAAAGTCTAGAGGTATGGAGAAGCTAAAGTCTCAAATGTGGCTACTCATAAGGGGAAGCATTTTAACGGTGTTGTACCCTAGTTGGAACAATTTTCTTTCTTTATTTTCATTACAGGGAGGTGTACCAAGTGACAGAAACCTTACAGAGAGAGAAGTCAGGACTTCTGAAGCAGCTGGACTTTTTAAGGTAATGCAGACCTTACATTCAAGAACATATTGCATAATTTTAAAGAGGTGTATTAAAGGATGAAATCATGTTGGGATATGCACTAGGTAGAGATGTCCAGGTATTGGCAGAGGGTCACTGTGGGGGTGGCCTCTGTGCTGGAAAGTAGAGGCCAGGGCTTCCCTGTGCCAGACACAGGAATTCCAGCCTGTTCCAACAGATTAACTGAAGAGGTAGTGCCTCTGGGAAAGCACATGTAAGAAAGCGTAGAAAACACTGTGCAGCAATTGAGAGAGAGAAGTAAGGAAAAAAAAATGTGAGAAACAGGCTAGGAAAGCTAAATTCATAATAGAATTAAATCTGGCCAGGGACTTCAAGGACAAGAAGAAAAGCTTCTATGGCTATTTTGGTGATAAAAGTAAGACTAGGGAAAATGTGGGCCCCCTCCAGAAGGAAATGGGAGACTTGGTCATGTGAGATATGGAGAAGGCTGAGGTACTCAATGACTCTTGCCTCTTCACCAGCAAGGGGTCTGGCCACACCACTCAGGTTGCAGAAGGCAAAGGTAGGGACTGGGAGAAGGAAGATCCAACCACTGTAGAAGAGCAGATTCAAGACCGTGTAAAGAACTTGAAAGTGCACAAATCCATGGGGCCTGATGAGATCTATCTATGGCTTCTGAGGGAATAGGTGGATGAAGTTGCAAAGCCCCTTTTCATCATATTTGAAAAGTTGTGGCGGTCCAGTGAAGTTCCCATGGACTGGAAAAGGGGAAACATAACTGCTATTTTTAAAAAGGGAAAAAAACAAGACCTGGGGAATTACAGGCCAATCAGACTCACCTCTTTGCCTGATAAGATCATGGAGCAGGTCCTCCTGGAAACTATGCTAAAGCACATGGAAAATAAGGAGGTGACTGGAGACAGCCAGCATAGCTTCACTGAGGGCAAGTTGTGCCTGACAAATTTGTTGGATAAGGGAAGAGCAACTGCTGTCATCTACCTTGACCTGTGCAAAGCATTTGACTCTGTACTGCATTGCATCCTTGTCTCTAAATTGGAAAGACATGGACCTGACAGATGGATCACTCAGTGGATAAGGAATTGGCTAGACAGTCACACTCAAAGAGTTGCAGTCAATGACTCAGTGTTCAAGTGGAGATTAGTGGTGAGTGGTCTTCCTTGTGGTCAGTACTGGGACTTGTGCTGTTTAACGTCTTTGGCAGCAGCATGAACAGTGGAATTGAATGCAGCCTTAGCAAGTTTGCCAATGACACCAAACTGTTTTGTGGTTTATGTGCTGGAAGGAAGGGATGCAATCCAGAGGGACCCTGTCAGGCTTGAGTGGTGACTCCGTGCCAACTTCATGAATTTCAACAAGGCCAAGTGCAAGATCATGCACCTGAGTTGGCGCAATCCCATGCACAAATACAGGCTGGCCAGGGAATGGATTGAAAACAGCCCTGAAGAAGAGGACTTAGGGACATTGGGTGATGAGAAGCTCAACATGAGTGTGCTTGCAGCCCAGAAAGCCAACTGTGTCCTGGGCTGCATAAAAAGAAGCGTGGCCTGCAGGTCAAGGGAGGTGATTCTGCCGCTCTACTCCAATCTTATGGGATCCCACCTGGAGTGCTGTGTTCAGTTCTGAGGTCCCCAACACAAGAAGGACATGGAAATGTTGGAGAAAATCCAGAGGGCCATGAAGATGACCAGAGGGCTGGCGCACCTCTCCTATGAAAACAGGCTGAAAGAGTTGAGGTTATTCAGGCTGGAGAGGAGAAGGCTCCACCTGACAGATGGATCACTCAGTGGATAAGGAATTGGCTAGACAGTCACACTCAAAGAGTTGCAGTCAATGACTCAGTGTTCAAGTGGAGATTAGTGGTGAGTGGTCTTCCTTGTGGTCAGTACTGGGACTTGTGCTGTTTAACGTCTTTGGCAGCAGCATGAACAGTGGAATTGAATGCAGCCTTAGCAAGTTTGCCAATGACACCAAACTGTTTTGTGGTTTATGTGCTGGAAGGAAGGGATGCAATCCAGAGGGACCCTGTCAGGCTTGAGTGGTGACTCCGTGCCAACTTCATGAATTTCAACAAGGCCAAGTGCAAGATCATGCACCTGAGTTGGCGCAATCTCATGCACAAATACAGGCTGGCCAGGGAATGGATTGAAAACAGCCCTGAAGAAGAGGACTTAGGGACATTGGGTGATGAGAAGCTCAACATGAGTGTGCTTGCAGCCCAGAAAGCCAACTGTGTCCTGGGCTGCATAAAAAGAAGTGTGGCCTGCAGGTCAAGGGAGGTGATTCTGCCGCTCTACTCCAATCTTATGGGATCCCACCTGGAGTGCTGTGTTCAGTTCTGAGGTCCCCAACACAAGAAGGACATGGAAATGTTGGAGAAAATCCAGAGGGCCATGAAGATGACCAGAGGGCTGGCGCACCTCTCCTATGAAAACAGGCTGAAAGAGTTGAGGTTATTCAGGCTGGAGAGGAGAAGGCTCCAAGGAGACCTTATAGTGGCCTTCCAGTACCTGAAGGGGCTACAGGAAAGCTGGGGAGAGGCTTTTTACAAGGACATGTAATGATAGGACCAAGGGGTAATGGTTTTAAACTGAAAGAGTGAAAAAAAAAAAGAGTGTAGATTTAGATTAGATGTTCTTTAGGAACATCTTCTTTAGTGTAAGGGCAGTGAGACACTGGAACAGGTTGGCCAGAAAGAAGTTGTGGAAGCCCCATCCCTGGAGATGTTCAAGGCCAGGCTGGATGGGGTTCTGAGCAACCTGGTCTAGTGGGAGGTGTCCCTGCCCATGCAAGCGGGTTGGAACTAGATGATCTTTAAGGTCCCTTCCAACCTAAAACATTCTCTGACCCTATTAAACAGCCCTACAGACACCAAGGTCAATGAAGAAGGAAGGGGAGAAGGTGCTCCAGGTACTGGAGTAGAGGGTACCCTGCAGCCTGTGTAGAGCCCTCGCAGGAGCAGGATCCTTGCTGGAGCTATGGTCCATGGAGAGGAGCCCATGCTGGAGCAGGCTTTCTGGCAGGAACTGTGGCCCAAAGTGGACACACACTGAAGCAGTCAGTTCCTGAAGGACTGTTCCCCATAGAAAGGATCCACTGCTGGAGCAGTTGGTGAAGGATTGTAACCTGTGGGAAGGAACTCACACTGGGGCAAGGGAAGAGTATGAAGCAGAAGGAGCAGCAGTGAGGACCTGTTATGGACTGATCACAACCACTACATTCCCCATCCTCTTGCACTGCTCAGGTTGAGAAGGAGGCAGAAGAGTCAAGAATGCAGAAGAGACGTTCAGCCTGGGAGGAAGGTGGGGTGAAAGTGATGTTAGTTGTCTTTATTTCTCCACATCTCTTGCAGTTGAGTCTGTTTCGTCTGTGATAGTGTTGCTGTTCATTACAATGCCTCCACACTAAGAAGTCATCTTTACTGTGAAAAGCTTTAAACATTCTAACTTAGACTAAGTGAAGGCATATTGACCAGAACTGATTTCTGTGTGTTAAGACATTTGTTTTGATAAACTATAGAATGAGGGCCAGATGTCTGAGCATAGACTTTCTGGAGATTGAATGGCCCAGACAGAGAACTGGCTGCCATGAGAATATAAATAAAGCATGTTTGAGGGTGAAGATTTGCCAAATGAAAGTGCTTTTATCTTGCCTTTTGCACTGTCAACTGTCCAGTCTGTCTGATAGTGTTTAGTAGAAAAGTCAGCAGTTCTAAATCCTTGGTCTCAGTGTTTCCTTTGTTTATGTTCTCTTTTCAGGGAGAGGAACAAACATCTCAAAGATGAACGTGACGTATTTTTGCAGGTAGACAACTATTACTGCTAAACCAAATGTTCAGCAAACAGATAGAGAACAGCCTCAAAAGAAGGGGATCAGAAGGCCGTGGGGGAGACAGACTCTTGTGCTACTTGCCCCATTCTTAATTTATGTTCTTTTTTCTTACTTGAGAATAAGATCTTTAGATTTGATGAACAATTTTTAAAGCTACATTTTTAGAATTACAAAGTTGGAGCCGTCTGGAGGGAGAATCATGTGTTTTATAAGAAGCTAAGGATGCAATAATGAAAGGACAAAATAACTGGTTTGTGTTCTTATTCCTTAAAAAAACTACCAGTATAAATCACCATATATCTATTGACTTCTTTTAATGGAATTGTGTTGCTTTATTGTGGTCCACTTAGTTTACAGAGAAGATGAATTCTTGCAGGATCTGGAGTTTCCATGTTCTGATTGTTTATCAATCAGAATTTTGAAGCATTTATACCTCTAGGATTTTTTCTACTGTTTTGTTTTTGGTTTTTTTTTTCATATTAATTGCATTATTTAAGCATTAAGAATGAAGGCAGGCAATAGGAGTAAATTAATAACAAGTATTCTATATTTCTGCAGAAATGCAAAACAAGTGTTCCAAAAAACATCTGGAAGCAAAGATCGGGGTCTGTCATTGGGAAATACATAGAGGGCAAGATCCTGCCTAGCAGGTAAGAACTTTTTTTCATGTGTTCCCTGTTTGAGTACAATGATGCTTACAGAAAGAAGATGTGGAATGTTTTCTTTCTGATACCTTCAGAATTTTCAAAGCATGTATTTCTAAAATGTCTGTCATTATAAGATTACTGTGCTCTTTAAAAAATAAACAATCTTTCATATAAAACTAGTGTTCTGACTGCAAAGGCAAGAGACTTCCCCATTGTGCATGAGTATGAGAGGCCTCAAAGCTTGCTCATTACCCAGTGCTAATGTGGTGCAAGGTTGTTGGTAACTCCATGACAGAATACACCTCCTCACTTCTCATGGTGGAAGACAGCAGCCATGTTGTAAAGTATGGGCTGTGGAACTAGTAAAACATAGAGAACTTAATTCTCATCTGTGTTGTTGTAAACTTGAAATCAACAGGAACAAGATGGTGATCTCAGTGAAACATTAGCATGCTTCCTTTGAGACAAGAGGAGCTAGAAAGAAGACTAGTGTTTCACATTGAAATAGCAGCTAAGAAAACATCCTTTCAGGCACAGGATCATGAAGTGTAAGGAGTGAACCTTTTAGACAGACAGTTGTCACAATTGTCAGTTGTCAACACTGAGCCAGCAATTAAATGACTGACAGATGCTTTCTATTAACCTCTCTCCCTTCCCAGGAAGGGAAAGGAAAGAAAATAAGGGAGAATGACTTACGGGTTGGAAACTAAACCGCTTTCATGAAACAGTAAGAATGGAAAAAGAAGATAATGAAATATATACAAATACATACAAAACCAGTATCATGCTCCCCCAGTAATGCTCACATCACCACCAAGGCTACTCCCTGTAAAAGTCCCAGACTGGGCTCCTGGCATCTGCATTGGACGGGAGTTGGATGCAAGAACACACAGATTCAGGAACACGTGGATCGAGATTAAAGGCAGACAAATGGATGGAGTCCTTGCAGGACACCGGACATGGATGAAGAGTAGCTTGGCCCTTGTGATCCCTCAAATTTATACTGTGATGCATATGGGATGAAATACTTTGTCTGGTCAATGTTGGTCACCTGTGCAGTCCACTTCTCACCAAAGGAGGGTTGCAGGTGTGACCCTTTTTGACCCTTTTGTTTCTGGAGCATAAGATGTTTTTCATAACCAAGCAGTGGCCTATGTTCTGCATACTGTTCTCCAGCAGTAACTATAAACATTGAGCATTATCAGCCCAAGAAGCAGGCAGTGACTGAAAAACATGCTGTTAATTTCAGCTATTTAGAAAAGACCTAACTGAGAAGTAAAATTACTGAAAGAAAATTGGTCCTAAACTGTTTTTACTAAAGAGTACTGAGAGTGGAGCATAACTGGCGAAAGCTATATCAACACAAAACTCATATAAACTTTTAGGAGGGAAGGACCTCTGATGTCTCTTGTCCAATCTTCTGTGCAAACAGGGATAACTCCAAAACTAAACAAGGTTGGTCTGTGCCCCGTTCAGTTTAATTTTTTAACATCCAGATGGAGATCTCACAGCTTCTCTGGGTACCTTTTCCCTTGCTGCACCAGTCCTATGAAGAAATTTTGTTCCCTCCATCAACTCAACATTTCTTTTATTGCACCTTGAATCTGTGGTCATTGCACACATCTGAGAAGACTCTGGATCTATTTTATCTACTCTCCCCTTTCTGTTGAATCCCCATTTAGCCTATTTTTCATCCATATTAAACAAACCCATCTCCCTCCTATTTGCTAAGGAGAGAAAGGGCTGAGTTGGAGGACTGTTTTATTCTTCCAGAATAGGGGAGTAGGAAATCACAGAAGAGAAATCTATCTGAGCTATTCCATGAGGTTAGGAATGAAGCCAATCTGACATTTTGTATTCTGGTTCAGGTTTTCCCTGTAAGTTGTTAGCTTTCCCTGTTATGCTTATAATTATCAAGCACTACAAATACAAATTGTGTATAAATGATGAGCTGACTTTTCAGCAAACATAGTACTGAATCTACTGTGCCTGCTGTGAGTAGTAAAACCATGATAGATTGAATTCAGTTACATTAGAATAAACCAGTAGGAATCAAGGTGAGATATATTTTTGTGATGTACTTGCTTTTTTCTCTGTCTAGCCATTCATTTGAAGAAGATGATGTTTTCAATAACTCAAAGAGAAGGAATTCTGCTGGACTGAATGGAGTTCTCTTTGTAGAGCCTGATGCTGGAGCTACTGCAGGAGTATCTAAAGCATCACATCTCCAAAGAATAATATCAATTGAGGAAGATCACCTACCCCAGCTTCTTGATAGGCTGGTTGTTAAGCAACAGAACAAATGGATTGGAGAAGATGAAAATACTTCTTCTGAGATGGAAAAGGATAAGGAAAACACAGAACAATCAATTGAACATTCGCCATCATCTTCTAGAGAGCAGCCTGTAGGTCTGTCAAAAGTAAGGGGGCAAAAGGGTCCTTATCTTGAATATTGTGTGCAGTTCTGGGCCCCACAATTAAAGAAGGACATTAAGGGCCTTGAATGGGTGAAAGGGCTAGAAAGCATGTCCTGTGAGATGTGGCCACACACTCTGGCTTTGTCTAGTTTGGAGAAAGAAGGCTGAGGTGTGACCTCATTAGTCTATACAGCTTCCCAAGAAGGGGAAGTAGAGAGGAAGCTGCTGGTCTCTTCTCCCTGGGATCCAGTGCCAGGGTGTGTGGTTCAAAACTGCATCAGAGGAGGTTCAGACTTGATGTTAAGAAGCATGTCTTTACTGAGGGGGTGGTTAACACTGGAACAGGCTTTCCTAGAGAGATGGCTGATGCCCCGTGTTTAAGAGCCATTTGAACAATGTCCTTAATAACATGCTTAACTTTTTGTCAACACTCAAGTGCTCAGGCAGTTGGACTAGATGATCACTGCATGTCCCTTCCAGCTATAGATATTCTATTCTGTTCTATTCTATTCTAAACGGCATTGAAAAACATGAAATAGTGTTGAAGCATAATGTGTTATTCTTAGAATCTAAAATTATTTAGTTTTCTGTTTTTAAGTTAAAGCATGACAAATTCAGCCATTGCTTGAAGAGGGAGGTGGAAATATACTGCAGATAAATGTTGAAGCTGTCAAGAAGGGAAACTCAACCTAAAGGAGTGGTAGCTGTTGACAATGTATTCATGGACTTATGTTCTGAATGACTGGTTAGGAAAAGTGAAGTTAAACCTTCTAATAGATGACACAAGATCCACGTTTGTCAAAAAATTACATTTCTCGTATTCTGATACTTTTGAGTCAGCTTTGGTAACTGTTACACCATCTGAGAAGTAATGAGCACAAATTTTATTTTTTTTTTAAATTACTTTTTGAGAAGACTTCTAATTAGAAAATTGAAATACTTGTATTTTTTCAGCTCTGACTTGTGGCTGCACGTTAACAATGAATTCACCATGCAGTAATAATCCTTGAAACTATATGCTGGAAGTCCTTCTTGCATTGTTATTGCTTCAGAGCTAGCTGTTCTTGTTTTCTAATATTAGTACCATTGTTAAGTATTACTCATTTTTAGATTATTGAAGCACATATTAAAAATATTGAAGCATAGGAAAAATAGGTATGCTGTTCATAATTATATAGTTCTTTTAGAATAAGCAAACATATCCTAAAAAATTATAGAATTATATCATGGTTACATAATAAATTCTATGTGGTACATTTTAATAGAAAGTCTAGGGCACAGAACAGAGCTGCATACTTTGAAGTTATTTAATACAGGGCATACCTTGTACTTGTGGTATGACTTATTGTGTATCACGTTTTTTTAAGTATGGCATCATTGGAATTTAGGCCAGCAAAAGCCAGGTAGGTCATTAGGTCCAGCTGGGACAAACCTATCCTGCCTGCTCTGTTTCAGCAGTCATCCCCCTTGAAAGTACATCATCTCATCTGGGTAGGAACTGAACATTACCTGAAATATTTTTTTTCTTTCCCCAAAAAAGCAGTTGAGAACAGGCAGAGAGAGGAGTGAAGAAATCATAAAATGTCTCTTGCCTCGTTGTTGAAAACTTTTTGCTTGTGTTTGTAAAGAAACATTGTGAGGGTAAACAATAAGTTAATTTCCAAAGGTGTCTTAGAACTGGGAATTTTATTTTTATTTTTTTTTTAATGAAATACCAATTCCTTAGCCCAGCCCTTAGTTTGGGTTGTTGTTTTGCTTGTTTTTTAAATTTTAATTTAAAAAAACACTGCAGAATATTCCTTTCTGATAAGATCTCAGTCATTGTGGCACTGAAATATGTGCATGGTCCTGCAGGGTCATCTTGGCCTGCTGACTAGGCCTGCTAATGACTATTCAATTAATGGTATTCCATTGCTTAGGGCAGTCTCTAGGCTGTCTGTCCGACCACTGCCACTTCATGTGAATAGTGCTTCATCTCCTCCCATACACTTACTGTAGTTTGATGATTTTCTCCTACAACTTTCTTTCCTAACTGATGGCTTTTGGGATAATTGCTTTTTGACCATGAGATTTAGACATGACAAGTTATCTTGTTCCATACAGTGCTTTGCACACTCATTCCTTCACCTGACTACATTCCTGGGTTAGGAAGAGTGGTATTCACTCCAAGTGTTTTCCTTCTCAACTGGAGGAAAACTTCAGAAAAAGATAACTTGCTGCATCATGAGTTACAAGGTGTGAGTCTCAGGACTGTGTGTCAGCTAGACACTCCTCTGCAGCCAGGCCTTCAGGTTGAGGGAGGTTCTCCTCCTCTTCTACTCTGCCCTGGTGAGACCCCACCTGGATCACTGTGTGTAGTTCTGGGCTCCCCAGTTCTAGAATGACAAGGAACTACTGTAAAGAGTCTAGCACAGGGCCACCAAGATGATTGAGGGACTGGAGCTTCTGTCCTATGATGAAAGGCTGAGAGAGCTGGGTCAGTTTAGCTTAGAGAAAGGGAGACAGATGGAGGATCTCATTAATGCTTATAAATATCTAAAGGGCAGGTGTCAGGAGGATGGGTCCATTCTTCTCAGTGGTGTCCAGTGACAGAACAAGGGGCACTGGTCACAGACTGGTAAACAGGAGGTTTAACTTAAATGTAAGAAAGTACTTCTTTACTCTGAGGATGACAGAGCACTGGAACAGGCTGCCCAGGGGGGTTGTGGAGTCTTCAAAAGTTGTGGGTGTATTCCTGTGTACTCTGCTCTAAGGGACCCTGCTCTAGCAGGGGTGGTGGGCTAGATGATTTCCAGAGGTCCCTTCCAACTCCTACCATTCTGTGATTCTGTGATTCTCTCCTCTCATATCTTGCTGCTCATAGGATCAGCAGTATAAAGGAGTGTAGGATCTAGAAATACTAGTGCAAAGGAGGCAGAATGATTCCATGCAGTTGCTACATACGTAGCTCAATAAGATATGAAGTCTAGTCATTATCCATTTTGCACTAGGAAGATGAAGGATCTCAGACAACCTGTATTTTTCAATTCACCACCATTTGTGTTCCTGTTGTCTACCTGGCTTTGTGTTACTGCATTCCATTATCTAATTGCTTACTATACTGAACTCAGTCACCTAGCTGCTGGCATTAAGCCTTCTTATTCACCATACTTTTACTTGAAAGAGGAATAAACTCTGCCCCAGACCGTTTATTCAACATTATTTTTGTGGGCAATTCCAGTGTTGAAAATGCTTCATTCTTAAGGTGATTTTGTGAAAAAGAAGAGGTTTTATCCTATCACGTTCTCCATTACTCCTAAGTTAACTCAGCTTTTAAGATGTTTGCCTTGCTACCAGGGACAAGGTATATCAGGTCATGTAAACCATGTGTTTAGTTACTGCTCTCAGAAGCACTGTAAAAATGGTGCCAAGCTGATGATTGCATGTTAACTTTCTTTATTTCCCAGAGCACACAGACTAATAATCTGGGAATGTTTTTCTGTAGAACCGAAAATGTGCTTTTTATAGATGTATGTGTATTACTAGCAGCCATAGTTGTAGTTGAGTTTGGGAGTTTAATAGAAAAGGAGAAGTAAAAACGGAGGTAATAAATTTCTTTATAGTTATAATGGGCTGTTGGCCCAGCCCATGAAATATACAAGTATTTTTGTTCCCAAAATCTACAGCAGTGAATGATTTTATTTTTTTTTCACAGTATCACACAGAATCACAGAATGGTAGGGGTTGGAAGGGACCTCTGGAGATCATCTAGCCCACCACGTGTGCTAAAAAGGTTCACTTAGAGCATACTAAGGAAGACAACAACTTGAGGTTTTATTTATTTTTTGCCCCATCAAATGCAGCTCTGTATTGTTTCTGCTACTTTCTCGAAGTCTTCCGTATACTTGAAGAAAACATTTTCAAAGCCAGACTTCAATGTCTCACTCAAAGGACTGTCGAGCAGTGAGTTCAGTTCTGTGTTCTTGAAGGCAGCAGTCTTAGTGATTCTGTACCTCAGATGCCTGGCAAAGGGCCTCGTCACAATCCTTACTCCAACAAACTAACGCCAGGAGCTGCAGCATTTAGAACAAACTCACTATCTCCCTCTTCCTCCTCCACCTTAGCAAAAACAGAAGAGGCAAGGAAGGGCACCCCCAGGAAACCAGCAGGTGCTGCAGAGTTCTTCCCTAAGCAACTCCTGATCTACCTTCAAAGGTCTTGGGAATAATGACCTACTTGAGAGAGGATATAAATATTTTCTCCAGCATGAACTTAGCTTAGGCTGCAGTAGACAGAATACAGATAGATAGAACAAATTGTTCTTCCTCTGCTTAAAAAACTGAATGACAGAAACAGCTGAATGTTTACAGCCTGATTAACTGTTTCTAATTCTGTCTGTCTCTTTCCCCCATGCCTCTGCCTGTAATGTGAAACAAAGGTGGAAGTTCAGTAATTCCATAGAAACTCTTGGCTAAACAGGAGTAGCAGAGAGAAGACTCTGGTGATAGCTGGCTTAGGCCAAAAAATTACAGCTTTGCTTCTGTTATCAAGGTGAAGTTGTTATGTTTCCTCTGTGTTATTGGTATAGGATGAAACTACTGAGCAGAGCTGTGTGAAGCTTTGTGGGTTTTGATTTTCAGGGATGAACATACAAGGTTTTCTTTTGGCATTTTCTTGCATTTTTCAGTACATTCTTATGTCCATATTCAGTATACTTCCAAGAGCTCAGTCCGAATCACTTCACTGTTTGGGAATGATGCAAGGTAAACATCTTAAATACTGAGTTATTTTAGGAGTAATGGAGAACATGATAGGATAAATTTTTTTTTACTTTTTTTTTTTTTCTTTTTTTTTTTTTTTTTTTTTACATCTCAGCCTTCAAGACAAGGCAAATTGCAGATGCAACAGTATTTATGGAACATTTGGAGACTAATGTTTGCTCTTACTTAAAGGAAGAGAGAATAAACTCTGCCCCAGACCGCTTATTCAAGATTATTTTTGTGGGCAATTCCAGTGTTGGAAAGACTTCATTCTTAAGGCGATTTTGTGAAGATCATTTTTTCCCAGGCACAGCTGCCACTGTAGGTAAGTTTAAGAAACATTATCACTATTAATACTTTTATTTTTATTTCAATAGTACTTGGCAGCTTCTACTGAGATCAGGCCCTATGTTATAAAACAGAAGCTTACAGATGTTGTAAAAGCCATTATCCAAAAGTAGGATATGCTAAGTGAGTTCTCCTAAACTGACAAGCAGGTAAATGGTGAAGAGGCTTCAGTGCAGATTCCATACTGAAATCCTAGCAGCACTGAAATAAATAAAAAAATCCTATTGATTTCAGTGAAGCTAGAATTTTCTCATAGGTCTCACTGTTCTGAAACTGATATCCTGTCCTCTGTACTGCACAATAGTAACCATCCCACCTCCATACCCCATGTCTGTCCCTCTAAGTAATCTGAATTTTTTTCAAAGAGAAAGTAGAATATCTGTGTTATGTCTGAAGACTTAGCATTAATTAAGCACCAAAGAAAGATGTTGAACTGGTGATTTCAAAGCCAAACTCTTCAATGCCTGTGTTGTACTTACATTGCCTGAAGGTATAAACCAAACTTTCAAAAGTCAGATACATAATCAAGGTATAAAAACTTATGTACAGGTTATTGCAATGCAGATGACTTACTGTAGATTACCAGATTATTATTATTACCAGATTATTATTATTACCAGATTACCAGATATTTACCCTGTATTAGGTCTTACGTATTCTGCAGCATATATGAAAGTTCACACTAAAAGATATTTAAATTAATGGACTTTTTTTGCATTTATGACAGTCTAAGAGTATTCAGGTGAGCAGTTGCTTTAGCTCCCTTGTCTTATGGGATAAAAATGTCTGAGTTTAAATTTCTACTGTTGAATGTCTAAGCTCACATTAGAGTCAAGGAAGATAAAAGGTTTTAGTGTAGGGATTTAAATGAATTTTGGCACAATAAGGTATTTCACCTGGCCTTCATCAGTTGCATTTTAAGACAGCAGGTCTCCTGGGTCTCCTGCCAGATTGAAACAGACATTTTGAATACCAGATGGCATCTCAGATAGCACTAAGTGCTTGTGAGCAAACAGCTGAATTCTACCCTGCCATCCTCTCCAGATCAATCCAGTCAGAAGAGCCTAGAGACCAATTAATCTGACCCTTGATGCCTAATTCTTTGTGAGCTTAGTAATTTCCTAGACTCCTAGTTTTTAATTCACTTTATCTTCATTAACTGTAATGGGAGCTTAGACACCTGTATGCTACTGTCTATGTTTAAGAGTCTGGTGCTATGTCCTATCCATGTTGTCTTCTAAATAGCTGATACACTTCTCCAGACTCTGAGGTCTTACACAGTATTTGCAATTGCCTGAAGCTTCCAGAGGAAAAGCATAGGAATGCATTTGACCTTTTCGTCATTCAGTGTTCTTGCAAGTACAATGACAAGAGAGAATTTGTTAATAGCTTTGATTTAGTCTTCACATCAATGAGTTTCACAGGTGTGGACTATTGCGGGCAAGACACAGACAATTGAAAAATCAAGTGTACAGCTTGGAAAAGACTGTTCTCATTTAATTTCTTCAGAATAGCTCAAATTTCTTCCGTTTAGATATAAGCAATGGATATATCCTCCAGCTCGATTTCTTAATTGCCCATGTGGAATGTGGAAATGGATGTTTCTTCATTAATGCCAGTGGTAAAAAACCCACTGATATTGAAAATAGCCCCAAAGAAATTGTTGATGACCTACTGAGGTCCCTTTCAACATGAATTATTCTCTGGTTCTGTGAGTCTATGATTTAGTACACTATGATACAGAAAAATGCAGGTTGTCTTTAGGAGAAGGCAGTAATTGACTAATATTTCACAGAATCAAAGAATTGTCATAGTTGGAAGGGACCTCTAAGATCACCAAGTGCAACTGTCAACACAAAAACCCCACAACTTTGGCCACTAAAGCATGTCCTTCCAAGTACCAAATCTACATAGCTTTTGAATACCTCCAGTGATGGTGACTCAACCTTAGCTGGCTGTTTCAGTGCCTGACTACTCTTTCAGTGTAGACATTATTCCTAATATCCAATCTAAACCTCCCCTGCTGCAACTTCAGGCCATTTCCTGTGGTCCTATTGTTATTGACTTGGGAGCCACCTCACTGCAACCTCCTTTCAGGTAGTTGTAGAGGGCAGTGAGGTTTCCCCTCAGCCTCCTTCACACTAAACAACCCCAGTTCCCTCAGGTGCTCCTTGTATGACTTGTTCTCTAGACCCTTCATCAGCTTGGTTACTCTCCTCTGGACATGTTCCAGCATGTTATAAATGTCCAGAAGATACTTCCATCATCACAGGTTAGGGGAATTGGGAGAGGATTCATTTAAAACTTTAGATAAATTAGTTTATATCTCGCTTATATTTAGCCACATAAAAATTAGGTGACTAACCTAACTCTACTCAGCTCATCTCTTTCTATATTCTGAAAGGGGAAGGAGGTTCTCCATGTATTGAGTCTCTCTGTCTTCAACATTTATCTTAGGTTCCACTTTCCTGTCAGTGTGGTGCCTTGTGTTTTTCTACTAACTGTAGAAGGTGTCTATGTGGCTATCTCTGACTAAACAGTAAAATTTCAGACAACTGAATTTATCCAGCATGAATTCCAGGCTAAATGGCTGAGGCTGCTGTGGACTGTCAAATGGAACCTTGACTTGTGTACTCTGTTTTGGAAAGTTACTTATCTTACAGCTTTTACAAAATTCAAACTACTCTGTTAACATTCAGTACTTTGTTACTGAAGAAATACTGATAAATAAAAGCTCTTGTTGTTCTCTGATAGTTAGAGACTATGGACATAATTATAAATGTAGTATCTATCTTGTTACATTTCTGAAATTGTTGCCATTTCCTGGATCAGTTTTTCAAAGATCAAACTGAGCATATAAAGAGACCTACCTTGTATTTCTGCTGTAGGTGTGGATTACAATGTGAAAACCATCACAGTAGGTAATACCCAGGTGGCCCTGCAACTCTGGGATACTGCTGGCCAGGAACGGTGAGAAACATTCTGTTGTGATTTAATCCTGGTAGTCAACTCCAGTGGGGTGGGGGAGAGAATCAGAAGGGTGAAAGTGAGAGAGCTCGTTGATTTAAATAAAGACAATTTAAAAATTTAAAAAACTCAAATTGACCATGAACAAAAACACAATAAAAAAGAAAGAAAACTAAGAAAAACAAGTCATGCAAAAAAACTCCAATTGCTTGCCACCAATAGATGACGAGCCAGTTCTTGAGCACCTGCAGCTCAGTCAGCCTCTGGTCCCCTCACAGTTTTATTGCTGACCATGGTGTCATATGGTATGGAATATCCATTTGGTCAGTTGGGGTGTCCTGTCCCAGCTGTGTCCCCTTCCAACTTCTTGTGCACCCCAGTCTACTTGCTGGCAGGCCAGTCTGAGAAGCAGAAAAGGATTTGGTGCTATGTAAAAACCACTAAGCAATAACTACAATGGTGTGTTAGCAACATTGTTTTCCTAACAAATCCAAAACACAGCCCCACAAAGGGTAGAATGATGGAAGTCTAGAAAAAATTATGAAAAAAACCCTCTATCCCAGCCAAACCCAGTACACATTCTAAGATCTGTCTGAAGATTAGTAAGCATGGACCTAATACTGCTTCTTGGGAAAGGAACAAACATTAGGAGTATTTCTAATAAGGCTGGTGAATTCACAGTTTAGATCCTTCCCTGGCAGGTATAATGTGCTGTTTTGGTGCCATGTGTCCATTGAAAAACTGCCAATCTATAAATTAGATTCTTATTAAAGCTCTTAAAAGTTTAGTACCACATAATTTCTTTAGGAGGAAAAGTGATTAAAAAATGCACCTAGAGTTATTTCTATAGCAGAAGATGCCTTAATAGTTAAGAAAAAGAAGTGTTTTTTTAGTTTTGCTGTTGTTTTGTTGTTGGTTTGTTTGTGGGGTTTTTTGTATTTTTTTTTCCACCAGAACAATCCTATTGTAGTTTAAGATCTCCCAAGTTTTTACAAGTTTCCAGTGGTAATTTCCTTCCATCTCCTCATCCATTCTGTAGTTTTCTTTTTTTGTTTTCTTTTTTTTTGGTATATTTTCTAAAGGAATCTTGTGAAGAAAGCCCCAAACAAAAGTCCAGCTAGCTGTAGGCAGAGCACTTAGTGAGGGAGAAATTTGTTCTCCAACCTTAAAATGAAAGAGGATAGGAAAAGGTGAGATATGCAGCTGATCATCCAGACTAACACAGAATCAATTAAAGAAAGCAGAGGGAATTTGCAGTAATTGTGGTAGTACTGTCCTTCATAAAACTTCTGCTGAATGTGAACAGGAATCTGATAATTCAGGAAGAATAGGATTGCTTACACAATTAATAATAAGGCTCACCTTTCAAACAGGATCTGCAGTGAAAATCAGTATTACAGCTTCTTGCTTGTCTAGTTTATGGAATTTTAGAACACATATGTAAGCCAAATTAATGGGTTTAACCCTTACCAAGACTTGATGATTAGAAGAAACTGTATGGCAACATCTTCCTTTGAGGGAGAGGCAGGGGGAATTACTTATATTGTCAGATTGCTACTGAATAGAGGTGTGAACAGATTCTTACTCGCAGGTACCGAAGCATTACCAAGCAGTTTTTCAGAAAAGCTGATGGCGTCATTGTGATGTATGATATAACAGCAAAAGACACATTCACAGCTGTCAAGCAGTGGCTGATAAGCATTGAGGTAAGAAGATACAATGTTAAATCCAAACTCTGCTGTCATTATTCTCTACCTACTTCTAGACAGAGAGTGTTAGGAGGGCAAAGCACAGAAAGCAGCATCACTGTATTTTTGTTAGTGATTTTGATCTGCACAATTATCAGTAAAGCTGGTTTTAGAATCTCTGTGTCTATGAAAATAATCACAGATTCAGGGTTTAAAGGACTTAAAATTAGTGGTGGGGAATGTCCAACATGGAGTCCCCTGATTTCTTGACTCTTCTGTAAACTTGAGCTATAAACTGAAAGTTACAATATCTACATTAGTGCTGTGAAACTGTCTTGTTCAGTTTCAGTTCAGTTCAGTTTCCTGGGGATTGTCCTTTCAACCAGAGGAAAACAAATCATAGTCCATGCTATTGAATGGCTTCAGTTAATTGAAAATTCTTTTTTTATCTCTTTGTATAAATCTGTAGCTCATTGACAATTGAGAGTGCAAGCAGCTACATTTTCTTGTCATCAAAATAAAAAATAAAACTAAAACAGAGGCTGCTGTCATGAAGGACTGAATCACTAGTGAGAACAAAGTATGACTTCCTATTTGCTCACTATTGCAGCGTATTGCTACTGAAAAATTAGAGGAAAAATAAGTATGCAAATAACATTCAGTCTCATTTTATTTGGCATTTGTTCTGCTATTATACACTGTTTTCTGTAATGGCCAAGAGTTGTCATTGCAAGTTGAAATTAGGACTCATTCATTCAAAGGTTTCCAAACAAACATAGTTGTTCCTCATATGAGTAGCTCTGTTGAAGCAATAAAAGCATGCATTTTGTAAGAGCAGGCCCTTATTAAGTATATGATCTTAACAAATCTGTGATTATTATAATTCTGTACTGTAAAAGCTAGTGCACAAATGCAGGTTTTGACTGAGAAAAAGTATTGTGGTCAAAATCTTTTCCTAAGCTATAATAATTCACTCATCTGTACTAATTTTGTTTGCTGCAAACTACTACTATGTTGAAGATGTACAGACAAGTCCAAGGTAGCTGCAACATTCAGCCCAGTTGCTGAATGTACTCCATGTGGTAATTCTAACCATTTTCAAAATTAATTTTTATTTGTGCCTGTTCTATGTATTTTGGGGCTATTCCGTGTGGGCTATTCTCCACTACTTTATGTAATTCGTTTGGCCTAATTGCATCCAGATGCTGCCATTATATTCCTGTCCATGTGATTAGAAAAGAAGTGGGTATAAACACACGATGTCAGGGCCCATGGTAGTTTTCTCTCTCCCATTTTAATATAGAGTCTGATGAGCTTCTGTGTCATAATTTAAAAATACTGTTAGTTCAATCTCTAGCATTTTGTCTTTTGCATGCCTTTTACCCAACTTTAATTCTTGACATGTTTGTAATTAAAACAACACATACCTGGCTCATGTGATGTCTTACATGTCCTGTTGTAGTGTGACGTTGGTTAATTTTTATCCTGTTGATCCATGACGTATTAAATACAATGCTCAGTTGATATTCTTTGTTCTGCAGGAGACGACTGGGGAAAATGTACCTGTGCTTTTGTTGGGTAATAAAATTGATAATGAAAAGGAACGTGAGGTCCCTATGGGAATGGGAGAGCATCTTGCTAAGGTACTAATACTTAAGAGGGGAATGCCTTACAAAACTTGAAGGTGAAGAGTTTAAAAAGGAGTCTGAATATGTCTAAATTCATGGAACCACAAATTAATTTTAATCAGACAAGTATTTTTAAGGATTAGAACCCTCACCAGACTCATCAGTCCAGCTCCTAGTGATATAAATGCTGATAATTATAAATTTTATAGTTATAAAACTGTCAAGATGAAGAAATGCACATAGTTTCAACACCAATGCCTCTGGATTATTAATTTATTTAGAAATAAGTCATCCCAATATTCCTGAGAAATTAACTGAGTTGGTAGGAATTTACCTAAATTAAGCAATGTGCTGGATTTCATCTATTCTTGATTCTTCTTTGAAAACAGATTAACAGCTCTGGTTGCTGGTAACCAAAAACAATATTTTCAAAATTTGAAATGCAACTGAATTGTTCTTGGTTTATAGAAAAGATTGCTGCTATGCACCTCTCTGTCACTGAAAGAATTATGGCCCGATCTTTTTTATCTTATTTTTATTATTCATACAGCCCTTTACAAGCATACCTCCATATTCAGGTTTGTGTTCGTTATTTTGTTTTCACAGGGAAGCAATATCAGCCTTGAGCTTCAACCCTCACAGATTCTCTGTTTAGGAAATGTGCTTTGTTTTCTTGCATGCATGGAAATGCAGATAGTTTGGAGAACCTGGACACTAGGAGTGACTCCAGGGTGCAACAAAGAGTCCTCTGTGAAAAAAACAAATGAAATGCTAAATAGGCTGACTAGGTGTCTGTCTTACATGTCATTTAGCTCACTTAAAAAATTGTACTAGTAAAACAAACATGAATCGTTCTATTATACAGAATTTACAGCCCACCAGGTCATGAATTCTAACATGTCATGCAAGAAAATAAAATCTTTTGCATAGGTAAAACAAAGAAAGTTGTCAAATTAAAGATTGTTATAATTAAATCAAAGGATCTGAATGACTAATTTGAATGTGCTGCCAGAGGTAGCTAAGGGAAGGAATGATTAATGACAGTGATTTAATTGAAAAGCAGCACAGATAAAATAAAACTCTAATAATTTGCTTGCACAGCTAATAATAACCATGAATTCTAGTTAAATATTAATTCTTGCTGAATAGCCATTTAATTTCTATGAAACCACATACCACTCTCTGTTGAGTCACTTTTTTTGTGAATAATCCCATTAATTACTCAAAAATTATCCAAAATACATGTGATTAGTTGCTGAGCTGATAGAAATATTTATATCCATATTCAGTGAAAACAACCCTGAACCTGTTCTTGTGCAAAGAACCACAGTTATTATTGAAAGCAACAGTGGCAGTCCAAAGGGAGTCTTCAGTTCCTTGTCTTTTGAGAAGCTGGTAGTTGCAGTGTATGTGCAATACCCCAAGAAATGGGGCAGAGAATAAGGACAGGCATAATTGGTAATAACAAGGCTGTGATTAAGCTGATTTTCAGTTGGATTTACTAAGTATTCCTTAATTCCTAAAACATCATGATGGTAAGGAGAATTTTGCAGTATTGAATTTGAAGGGAGAAACAGACACAAAAGAAGTAATTTGCCTGCAGTACAAGTATGGCCTGATGGGAAACAGCTAAAACTCTCTTGATAGAGTTACTGGGAGAATAAACAAAAAGAAAGAAAAAGAAAGAAAAAAAAAAAAAAAAAAAAAGAAAAAAAAAAAAAAAAAAAAAGAAAAAAAAAAAAAAAAAAAAAGAAAAAAAAAAAAAAAAAAAAAGAAAAAAAAAAAAAAAAAAAAAGAAAAAAAAAAAAAAAAAAAAAGAAAAAAAAAAAAAAAAAAAAAGAAAAAAAAAAAAAAAAAAAAAGAAAAAAAAAAAAAAAAAAAAAGGGCAAATCTCTCTGACTTTTTTTTAGCAAAGAATGCAAAAGGAAAATACCACTTAACAAATTTATGTTTAGCTTAGTTTGATCCACTGATCAAGAGTTCTTAGCAGCACAACAAAAATACAGAGAGTATTGAGATCATATTATGAGCAACAAAGAACAGCCAATGTTCTGTTTGAGTGGATTAGTGTAACCACTGCCAATAATTACATAAAATGGCGTATGATATAGGTGCTGCTCAGGCATTCAGGCAGCATCATTTTATTTTGGCCCTGCACAGACTTCCTGAATGATATTAAATGGGTCAATAAATCCTCCTCTGTCTCTGTTCTTCAACTATAACATAATAATGCCTTTGTCTGCCTTAACTTTGTGAACTATGTATGGTTCAGGGGATGAGGACTTACTGTCTTCATACAGTGTCTCCTTTATCAACCTGTCAGTGCCATTGTTATGCAAATACTGCTAATGAAGGAGCAATTCTTCTCAGAGTTATACTACTTCATAGGACAGAAATTGCCTGTCGCTCTCTGGTAATCATTCATTTTCCTTCCTATTCTTCATTTGTCTGCCAATTAGTATGTAACTTTTTAAAATTAAGTAATTGCCAGTGGTGTTCCAGCTTTAATAGCTTAATTCATGACTGGAGATGGGTGGCATTTCCCTGACTTGAATGTGTCCTGCCTTCTGCTACTTTGTTCTCATTGTGTGTGCTATCAATTAGTTTCCTCCCTAACCCAAAGGAATGACCCTTTGCATTTCCAGGCTTGCTCACCCTCCAGAAAAGGACCTGTTGGCCAGACTGACAGAAATAAGCATTTTTTTTGTTTGAGTTTAAATTTTTAACTCTCACCAATCAGAATTTGCCCTACCCATGGAACTTGTTTAAAAATCCATTCAGATTCACGCCAGCATATAAGATGTCATCACTGAGAGTTCTCTTCTAGTGAAATTCTGTTGTATGTAGGGAAGTTGTAAAAGTAGTAGATCTAGTAGTATCATGTTCTGCATGACTGTCGAAAAGTATCTGGGTACTGACCACAGTAGGTTTTCTATTAGATTTCTGATCAGATGAGCAGAAAAAAGTGTGTACATTCTATTTGAAACTTTCATTTGCATAACTCGCAAGAAATTTAAGCAAACCAAATTTTATCTTTAAACTTTTTAAGGAAAGAAAGAGAACCACAGAATTACATTAGTTGTAAATATAATGCAGAACAATTTTAGAAATAAATCAACAAAATTTCTATCCAACACCAACATTGCTTGATTTATTCCCTTATCTGCTCTTTTTTGCTTATCTTGCCACTTAGAAATAACTGCAAGTGCTTCAATCCTGGTGTTCATTAGAACAAAACATACAGCCATTGACAATATATTAAAAAACAGCCTTTGATAACATAGAAGCATTATTTCAGAGCTTCTAAAATAAACGATGATATTTATGAAACTTTTTTCCCAACTTACTGTCTTTGACACTTCATGAAGTTGATAAAAATTTCAGAAAGTTGTGCAATTTTGGAAACATAGTATATTAAAAAAAAAAAAAAATCCAAACCAAAATTGAAATACCTGATGATTTTAGTGGGAACTTCTGAAAACTTAATTTGAAGTGTTTTATGAAGGGTGGTTAAATAAGTACAAATGCAGTAACCACAGTTAATAGTAAGAAATTAAAATATGCAAGTATGTGATTGTAATTTCCTTGTTTGAATTTTAAGCTACTGTCATAAATAGCAATAAGACACATAGAAAAGTGGAAAGTAAATAGGAAGTTGGAAATTTAATAGAAAGGTGAAATCTGGATGTATAAAATTGCTTGTAGTAATACCATCCAGGAAATGTAGGTGACCTTCAATGGAATATCTTATGCAAGTAGTCAGATGTCTGTTTTGAAGAAGTTAATTTGTCATACCCTCTCAAACTTCTCTTGCCATCACAGCTGCCAGGCCAGGCTTTTGTGCAGATTATCTCTTGCATTTATTGTGATGTGGCTTCAGAAGAAGTCCTGAGAATGTCTCCAGGGCTTGACTGTTTATCCGTTGTTCTTAGCTGAAAAGCTCCCAGGGGCTACAAGACAAAAGGTGCAGACTATGCTGAAAAATTTCACAAGTATAAAAAAATGAAATAGACTTAATTTGTTGTTATATTTTTGCTGAGGTTTTTAACTGGTCATTGCTGGAAAACATTGGTCTCAAACTGTTTAATACATACAGAAACATTGCAGCTGAAGCTTTCTGAGATATATATATTTAAAAAGTTACTAGAATTATTTTCACCTTCCTTGTCGAGCACTCAGTGATGCCTCATCATCACAAGGAAACTTCAGTACTTTACAAGGCATGTTTGTGTTCAGTCTTTGAGAGGTCAAGAGAGGTCAAGCTCTTACAGCAAAAGCCGCTATAAAGAAAAATATCTGCTAAGAAATGCATATAGTTATTTGGGAGGCACACTTGGACTTCTTTTCTTTTGTTTCTCTTTACTGTTAGCCTAATTTTCCCTAAGGTTATCCTTTTCTGTGTGTTTGCATAGTTTGGTATAACTGTGTTGCTTTTTTAAAGCTAGAGTGAGATGTGCAAAATTAATTTAAATTGTCTTTCTGTTTGTTTCTAGGATTACAATTTGATTTTCTATGAATGCAGTGCATATTCTGGGTACAACACTCAAAAGTCTGTGCTTCATTTAGCTAGGTAAGAAGAAAACACATTCTACAAGTTCTAATGTGACTGACTTCCCTGTCACTGATGACAGAATGAAGCCTATTTATTAAGTAAATTTGATAGGAACTTACGGTTAGTAAATATTTGTTCCTTTTACACTGGTCTGTAGTCTGACCTTATTGCTTCAACAGAGAAGTTGCTCAGCTTTGTAAAGAGTCCTGTATAAGCTAGAAGTGCCTGAATTGTTGCTGGGAAAGCTGAGTGCTTGGAATGTTGTGACACTTCTTCCAGGAAGTTGTTGGAGACTTGGAGATGGGTGCTGCTGAGTTCTTGCAGCAGAACATTGGCTGTGCATCTTTCTTCCCTCTGCTCATTACAGCTCAAATTCTGCTGCCTGCCTGAGTGCTGGCAGACAGGGTAAGGTGGATTTTTAAAATGATATAAAAGCTAGGTGTAAAAATACGAGCAAATCTGTCCCTCAGACGTGTACAAAGGTGAAAACACTAGTAATAAATTGGCAGAACTCTAACATTGTTGCTGAAGTTAGAGAAATTTTGTGTATGTGTCAATTATCAATTGATAAATGTCTAGGGAGCCAGATGTGGGCGGTTTTTTTCTCCAACCTCAAAAATAACAAATGAATATAACTGTTTTGAGTGTTTATAATATACTATAAATGCTAACAATCAGCACCAACTACATTTTTCTAACTAAATGAACAAAGGTGGTTTTGAGGTGGAGCCACTATTGTACTTTTTTGTCTCTTTGTTCACAAAATTCTGTCATTTTCTGTTAGTCTCTAGGTAGTTTTATAGGCTTGAGGGAAATGGTTTCTTTGTTTGATCTCCTTCTCTGGGGATTTTCAAGACCCGTCTGGACTCGCTCCTGTGTGATCTGCTCTAGGTGTTAGTGCTACAGCAGGGGGGGTTGGGCTGGATGATCTTCAGAGGTCCACTCCAATCCCTATGATTCTGTGATCCTATGATCTCTTATGGGTATTATTGACATTTTTTCTAAATTGTGGTTTTTTCGTTCCCCCCAGGATTTTGAAGGAACAAGAAGACAAAGTGAAAGAGAAAACCATTGAACTTCAATCTGATATAAATAAAAAGTCTTGCTGTATCAGGCTATAAAACACTGGGGGATGTTTAGGCAGAAGTCGTATGACACTACATGGCAGCATCAGATTTGCTTTGCTTTCTGAATATTTCTTCTGTGTTCTGAGTGTAGGTGTAAGTAAACTTAAATTCATCTATGCTCTGATCTTCACTTTTACAAATACTGTTTTTAGTTAATTATCAATGCATTTGGGGCAGTAACAGTCATTTATTAAATTTTATGCCTGACACCACTGAATCCTGCTTTGTCTTCAGGCTTGTAGAAGCTGCCATGTTATTAATAACAAGAAATAATTCTATATGAAGAAAACTACTTGGAATGTGAAGTAAATTCTTACTGCTGTGGGTGATCTTTGTTCTGAATGTTTCTGTTTATTTCAGTGCTCTTTAGATTCTGATTTTGTGCTGATCTTTGTTACAGCTTTTAAAAAATTGAAATAGGTAGCTGGTTGGTTGTTTAAAAGCAACACACCAGCATTTGCAAAGTATAAGGTGATATTTTAAATCTTAGTGTGAAATATACATGAATAAAGGATTGAAGAACGATGAAGATTTTCATAGTAGCATTAACTCATTTACACTACACATTGTTGCATATAGATTCTTGATAAGAAATTCTTCCTCCCAATTAGATGTAATGAATTAGGTATGCTTAGACAGGTCACTGAGATACCACATGGGCTTGCTTGTGCTATTACCAAGTAAGCTGGCATGTTTCTGTGGTGAGGTGATGCTATGCAAGTATCTAGCTTAGTTTCCAGAAACAGTAAAGACACTCTCCTGCATGACATCCTGGTATCTAAACTATAACGATGCAGATTTGATGCATGGACCACTTTTTGGCAAAGGAACTGGTCGGATAGTCACACTCAAAGAGTTGCGATCAATGACTCGATGTCCAGATGGAGACTAGTGATGAGGGGTGTTCCTCAAGGGTCAATAGTTGGACCAGTGCTATTTAACATCTCTGTCAATTACGTGGACAGTGGAATTCAGTGCAGCCTCAGCAAGTTTGCTGATGACACCAAACTGTGTGGTGAGGTCAACACACTGAAGGGGCGGGATGCCATCCAGAGGACCCTTGACAGGTTCAAGAGGTGGGCTTGTTCAAAATGCATGAAGTTCAACAAGGCCAAGTGCAAGATACTGCACCTGGGTTGGGGGAATCCCATGCACAAATACAGGCTGGGCAGAGAATGGAGTGAAAACTTCCCTGAGGAAAAGGACTTGGGGGTTATGGTGGATGACAATCTCAACATGAGTTACCAATGTGCACTTGCATCTCAGAAAGCTGACTGTGTCCTGGGCAACATCAAAAGAAGTGCAGCCAGCAGGTAAAGGGAGGTGATTCTCTTCCTCTACCCCACCCTCTTGGGACCCCATCTGGAGCACTGTGTTCAGTTCTGGAGCCCCCAATGTAAGAAGGATGTGGAGCTCTTCAACTGAGTCCAGAGAAGGGCCACAAAGATGATCAGAGGGCTGGAGCACCTCTGCCATGGAGACAGGCTGAGACAGTTGGGATTGTTCAGCCTGGAGAAGGCACCAGGCAGAACTTATAGCAGCCTTCCAGTACCTGAAGGTGAGTTACAGGAAAGCTTTTCACAAGGGCATGTAGCAAGATGACAAGGGGCAATGGTTTTATACTGAAAGAGGGTAGATTTAGATTAGGTATTAGGAAGAAATTCTTTAGTGTGAGGGTGGAACAGGTTCCAGTGTCACTGGAACAGGTTGGCCAGGGAAGTTGTGTATTCCCCCTCCCAAGGCCAGGTTGGATGGGGCTCTGACCAACCTGGTGTAGTGGGAGGTGTCCCTACCCATGCAGGGGTTTGGAACTAGATGATCTTTAAGGTTCCTTCCAACATAAACCATTCTATGATTCTGTTTCTTTGGTAGTGCAGTGCTTTACTCTCTCCAGTTAGCACAGCACCCCAAACAAATCAGCCTGAGCTTTTCACTAGATTTGATATGGCTGTATTGCTTTCTCTTGCAAAGCTTGCTCTGAACTTCTTTTTGGCTATGGTGTCCTATAGAAGTCCCAAAGCACCTGTGGCCAACTTGGACATTCAAATCAATTCAGTCTCCTTATTGCTGGGCAAAGCCACAAACCTACACATGAAGCTTGTTGTATCGGTGTAGTTCATTGTATTACAAAGCATAACTCTTTGTCTCTAAAAGTCTGTCACAGAAGATTTCATGCCAGATGTCAGAGGAAGAATTTTCAGAAATAGTAGATCTTCTTTTGAGAAACACTCCAGCTTTTAATGAGTGAAAAATCTCACAAAAATCCAGTGACATATTGCTCTTTTCAGCAATGTTATAAAAAAATTCTTCCTCATGTACCTAAATATATAACTGATTTTTGAAAAGCATCTGCCACACAGCATTTTCCTTTTGTTTGAGCAGGTTCTGATAGCACTGAGATACAATGTTTGAAAACATGTTCCATAAGGGTATGTTTTAGAAAATCATGGCCCACTCCAGATCATAAGAAACCTAAATGTCATAATTACTTTTGGAAGCCTTTATAAACTATAAAGGAAAATAAAACACTTGAGAGTGGCTTACCCAGCCAACACATGGTCAACAATTATTCCTGTTCATATTTGTCTTCAATGCATCCAGTTGCACATATGTCACAGTCATGGATAACCTGTGCAATAGCATCTGGAGCTAAATCCACACCCCCCTGGCCACAGGCCTATCAGTATCATCCTTGATGACCAGAAGTGTCATGGGCCAGCAAGCTTAAAAATTCCACCACTGCACTTCCAGTCCAAATCTGTTTGGAACACTTTAGCTGCTTGGTCTACTTGTTGTGTTGGTGTTCTTCAGTGGCCCAGTCTATGGGCATCTACATGCTGTACCTTTACTACTAGTGTCTGTAGCTGGGCTGTGATATCTTGTCACAGGGTGGCAGCCCAAAATAGGCTTCCTCCTGAGCTTTCAGTTGTCCTCTTTCCTTTAACCATCCCCACAAGGCATTTGGTGCCATCCATGAGTCAGTGTAGAGGTAAAATGCTACCCTCTTTTCCCATTCAGTAATGTTGTGGGTCAGCTGAACAGCTTTTGCCTCTGCAAAGTGTCTCACTTCACCTCCATTGGATCCTTCTGTGACTTACCGTGTAGGACTCCAAACAGCAGCTTTCTACCTCTGCTGACTCTAGGTCCTTGTATCAGTACTGTAAAATTAGCCTGGCCTACATATCACTATCACTGACTATCTCCACAAAACTCCAAATCTTTCATTCCCTGGAGTTCATCTTGATTTTGGAGAAAAGTGACACATGAGGTGGATCATCTTTATCTGACTTTTCCAGGATGATTTTTCTTTGGACATCTTTTATTGTGCACTGAGATCCTGCTAGCAGGATATACACAAGTTGAAGGTAGAGAATGCTAATGAGCAGCTTAATCCTGGAACAAAGGGGATTATTTTTTTTTCATCCACTGGAGCTGTATCTCCCATCTCAGACTGATAGCTGTGGCTGCAAATGTTCCTTTTGCAAGTCTAGCCAAAAGCTGAGTACATGTTGCAAAGATGCAGACACACATACAAGACTAATGTCATCAGCTACACAGACAGCACAGAACAGTGTCTTCACTGCTTATCACCCGCATACACACAAACAGCAGCTGAAGTAATATGTTCACTGGTGTAACTCCTTATCTCAGTAATGTAAATGCCACTCTGTATACAGTAAATTAGCTGACAAGCAGTGCTTACCCATGGTCAATTCTTTGAGTGGATGATCAGTCGGTGGGTGTCACATATTGGGTGATGAACTTTACTGCTAAGAGAGAAGTGGTGATATGTTTCTTGATACAAATCAGCCATTTAACAAAGACTGATGGTAAATGTGACAGTGGTTCAACAAGATTTGATGGCAAGTTGCACTTGATTATTTATTGCAGAGTGGACAAGGTCAGACAAAGCTGTCAGGGAGACCCTCCCATTGAGTCATGAGGTTCAAAAAGGACACCCTTGCTTTCTGAACTCCTTTTGAAAGAGGAGTACAGGTGCAGCTGGATCTAATCCTTGACACGGACTTGGTCAATGGTTTATGTCTAAATGATCATATATATGCAATCAATCTTTTGTGTCAGTTAAGATTTCAAAGTTTAGGATGCTAAAACAAGAATCTTTTGTGACAATGAATCTCTCAGCCTCAAGAAATATCATTGAGAGGCATCCCTGCTCAAGGGGAGATTCTGTTGTGCATCCCACTGCCATGCAGGGGAGCTCAACGGGTCATCCACTATTTATGGAGTAAGACAGTTGACTTTGTCATATTTACATACCAGTCATATTTCAGTTGGCACATGCTCAGCTAACCCTCAGCTATTGAGCAAGATTTACAGCCCTTAGCTGTTGTGTTGTTATCTGTCTCACAAGAGTTTGACTTGGCTGCCAGCTGCAGCCATCACAACTGCCACTGGTGGCTATTGCTTAAGCAGAAGTTGGGGCAGGGGAGCACATCCCACAGTAGAACATGGGAGAAATTAATCTTCTCAGCCTAACAAAACTGACAGATCTTTGGTTGTCACACACATTGAGAAGTCTATTTTGCATGGATATAATACAATGCTCCTAGCCCTTTGGAATGGGCATATTTTATAGGCTGTAAGTAGTAATGCGCTGCAGTTGTGACCTGTGTAGAGGAGATAATGATCTACTCTGTACCAGTCAAAACTGTTTCCAGTCTGTTCAAATACAATCCAAGCAACAGTAGAAAAAAAACCCCAAAACATTGCACATGGTAACCTTACTCAGAGGGGTGTACAACACATCCCCACATAATATATTTAAGGAGTAATCTGCAGCTGTTAAGGTGAAGACACTCCACACAAAAGGAATGTGTGAAGAACAGACCACATTCCGATCTGTAAAGTTTGCTCCTGAAAGAACTGCAGCCAGTGGTCATTCCCTGTGCTGGAGCAGGGACAAGTATAGAGCAGGATGATGTGGAAGTGGGCAGGCCTTGGTGAGCAGGCTTGAATCCCCATGGAGCAGGCAG